TTCAATATAAAAACCTGGGCAATTTATTTTTTTTTTTTTTTTTTTTTTAGCTACAAAGGATTTTCTATTCTAATGCCTCTTTTTATAAAACCGTAAAGGTGCCATTTTTGACAGTTTGACAAAATAAATATGTGCACTGCAGTAGCTTGATGCATTAATATGAGGTCTGTGAAGCGTGCTGCTCGCCTTGCTTTTCTTCCCAGCCACACTCGGTCCCTTTTTTTAAGGTCAAAGTACAGCTTTATTGGATTGCCCTAAATATAACGTGTGCTCACGTCGTCTCCGAGCATTGCCTGCTCTTTGCCTACAACTGGCAACCCGCTTTTATCCATATTCTTCGAAGGCTGAATCAACATCATGATAGTTTTTCAATTGCAACTGGAAACCTGTTTAGTTTTCTTCTGTTGGGATTTCTGGGGCACAATCGGTTCGTGGCCGGTGCTGGTGGTGGGCTGGCCATGAGGATGCAGGAAAACGGAGGGGGGGTGCTGGAAGGGGGCTCAGAGCTCAGTCTCGGGGAATTTTTGGGGAGCCCAGGACTGCATGCGCATCCCTTAGCCCAGAGGTCATTGCCAGGCACGATTTATTCCCCTTTGAGGCTTCCCGTGGGGCTCTGTTCTGCTGGTGCTTCCCCAGGAGGCACCTCTGGGGCTCTCAGGGCAAAGCATCCCTTGCATTTCCCGGGGCGACAGCGCAGGGATGCTCCCTTGCCCTTGTGCCTGCAGTCCTTGTGTCGCCTATCCTTGGTTGAACATTTTTCGGGGCTTCTTGGGACATCTCTGATCATCTCCTGTGAGGAAAAGCCTTCCCGCCATGTGGAGGTGTCCATCCCATGCACGTTTCCTTATCTGGCCCTGCTTTTTGGCCTTTCCTAAGGGATACGACAGCCCTGGGGACCCTTCTGCCACGGCACAGATGGGAGCTGCTGCTCGGGCGTTGTAGGGAATGAGTCTGGGAAGAGGACAATGTGGTGTGAGCTGGGCTGGGAATGGTCGAGGATACGGGACATGGTCCAGGACGTGGCACTGGGGGAGGAGGGAGGCTGGTGACCCCGTGCAGGGGAGAACATCGCTCTTCAAACAGGATTTTTCTGAAGGGACTCAAGTTCTCCCCATGGGTTTACGGGAATAACTTTAAACCAGGCTTTGCTTGGAGCGGGCGAAAATCAGTCCCAGCTGTCTGATGGGGCTAATTACAGAAACAAATCCAGGATGTCCAAATTTCCTCGCCCGCTCCTCCCCACGTGCATCCCCGGGGCCGAACTGGCTGTGTGCAGAAGAGGCCCCTTTTCATCTGGGTGCCTAGAGGTGGTTGCTCGAGGACGTTTTTTTCCACCAAGAAAAGAGCAATTTCTTGTAGCTGTTAAAGAAATCTCTGTTTTCCTGCCGTGCGGCATGCTGGAAGCAGCTGCCCGTCCCTGGAAGGGGCTTTACCATGCCGTGCCGCCTGGCGCTGCCGGAGGGGGGTTATTTATAGATGGGTTTATTTTTACTTTTTCACGTCCCTACATTTTCCTTCCTGCTCGCTTGTGATATTCAAGGATCGTCTCATAAGCAGAAAGAAATCTCCCGTCCCAAACACCATGGCCCACAAGCAAAAGCTGGGAGGGGAAACTGAGGCAGCGGCTTGCCGATGGCGTGATGCTTAGGGCTAACGCTCTGATTTTCTCTGCATTAACCATTGGTCTGCCCACATGATTGGGACCAGACTTAAGGCTTAATATCTTCATCAACGACATAGTGGGATCGAGTGCACACTCGGCACGTTTGCAGATGACACCAAGCTGAGTGGTGTGGTCAACACGCCAGAGGGACGGGATGCCATCCAGAGGGACCTGGACAAGC